TGGGCACTGCGGGCCGGGGCGCGGACCGCCGAGCGGCCGTGAGTACGGGCGGGCCTGGACACTGTTGCGCGGGCGGCTACTTTGTGGCGACCCGAGAAGCCTGCGGGTGCGGGCAGGGTCTGGAGGCACCTGTTGGGCGCCCAGGCGGGCAGGCGGGGCGCGAGCGGACGCACCTGTCGGCGTTTTCCTTCTGGTTTGGTTCTCTGGTTTGTTGATATTTGGTTCCCTCCGTTTTGGAGCGGACCAAAGAGCCTAATCTCTGATTTTGCCCCCCGCTTTCTTCCCTCCTCTCCGCCCCCGCCCCCCAGTCGTAAACAATGTACAGAGGGAATGAACCACATGACGACAGGCTTTTCCCTCTTTAAAAAAACAAGTCGCCATTGGGGAGGAAGATGCGCACAAAGAGGTCTCCTAGGAATGACTATGGAAAGGGGGAGACGTTTCCAGTTGCCCGCGTAAGGATCGTGGCTAAGATGAAATGCCCTCGGTGCTAGCTCACCACTTGTGGCACCGGGCGCTGTTAAAGCAGAGCTCGCAAATGCCTTCGCTGTGGAAACCTGCTAGGCAGGGTCCCCTCCCCCAGCCCTGCCTGTGATTGGCATCTTCGATGTCCAAATTAGGTGCCGAGTTTTAGGATGGAAAGAAGGCTGAATTCCTTTTTAGATAGACAGTGGCCTTGGAAGACAACAATTTCGCCACCCCGGGGCCTTTTCTGTTCAGTTGCATTTCTTCTTTCTCTTTGTATCCAAAACATACACACCTTAACCTGCCCATTCCTTGGCCAAGATGTTATTTTTTCCACCAACCAATCCCTCACCTAAAGCCTCTGACAAGGCTTGCCTCCTGGAAAACCCTTTTCAGGGGCTGCACCTGAGCACACTGCCTCGCTCCCTTCACCGGCGCACCCTCCAGCCTCTGCTCTGTGCTAGTGGATGTGACGAACGCTTGCTGAGGTGCTGTGCTGGAGCCCAGTGTTGCTGAGTTTCATAATCCTGCCCTGGTTTCCCCTACCCTAGCTGTGGGCTCTTGGGTGACAGTCGTGGCACATGTGAAGAACGCTAATACTGCGGCTCTCCTAGACCTCCATGCTCCCTTTTTTGTGGGAACCCCTGAGAGCTAGGACCAGGGCACACTCATGTTTTAAAACGACCGTGTAGCACAGGGTCTGGCCTGTTTTGGACACTTTAAAAAACAAACAAAACTGAATGAGTTTAATTAGTAATCTGAGTAATAGTGTTTCTGCTTTTTAAATGAACTTATTTTGGGATAATTTTAGATTTACAAAGTTGCAAAATAATACAGACAATCCCCCTATGCCCCACACCCAGTGTTACCATCCCCATTGTCACCGTCCCACATTGCCATGATATATTTGCCAAAATTAGCAACTGACATGGGTACATGAAGTCAATTCCAGACATTAAGTCTTTCTGTTTTTGAAGCACTAAAATTTGTAAAGCTCTTTATGTTGAGAGCAGTGTTCCTATAACGTCTGCCTTCGATTCTGCCCGCCTTCCCGAAGTTCCATGGGGACCCTGTGTGGAGGGGCAGGTGTGGGAGTGTGGAGGGCAAGGGGCTATCATGTCGTTTTCTCGTATTTTTCTCCCTAGAAGACTGATGAAAGGAGTATAGTTTAGAATATGGAGCATCAGTAGAAGTCTGCCAGCTTGAGAACCATCCTGTGTCACTTTGCATTCGAGATTCATTTGGTTTAGAATTTTTAGAAAAGTAGTTCTGTTAATCAGCAGAACCTCTAGGGAGTGGGAATTTTGACAAGAGATTTCAGCTGAGGTTGGAGAAAGTTCTCAACAGCCAAGTCACTGGAGGGCCAAGGGTTCTGGCGAGGGCAATATGAGTTAGTTTCTGGAAAGGAGGGTGACATTGTGACAGAGACGGGGCACTGCGGAAAACCTGTGCACTGCTGAGAGTAAAACTGAAATCCTGGAGCCAGCCAACCCACTGCCCCGGGAAGAGACCCCTACCCTGCCCTGGCACCTGCTGTGCCTCGGAACCAGGCCCAGGACTCCCTGTGGGGTTTGCGAGGTTGTGCCAAGCTTGGTAACTCTGCCGTACTATCGCAGTGACACGACCTCTTGTGAGGGTCTCTGGACCACCTTGTGAAGTGTGTTTTGCCCCCATTTTACAGGTAAGGTAACAGCTTGGCCACCACTTTGTGCCACAGTTTGAGTGGAGCCTTGTCCCCACCCCCCACGCCCCAGCAGCCTGGCTCTTGCCAAACCTCACCTGCTGGCTCCTCCTGATGCCACCTGTCTTCCCAGCTTCATCGCTCTCCCCCAGCCCTGGCCCCCTTTCCGATTCCTCTCTGCATTTCGGGTGTTTCCCTCCCCCTGCCCAGCGCAGGGCTTTGAGTGTTTGCTTGTGTTTTATTTAGCAGGTGCCTAATCAGGATTACCCACCTCTTTCCTCTTCAGCCCGCCTTCCAGGCCTAGTCCCACCGTTGAGCGTGTGTTGTGGTCCGTGCGGTCTCCCCTTCTTGTTAGCTAGGGAACAAGCAGCCTTTGCTAGAACGTCCCGAGGCCGCGACGGGACACTTCGTTACGAGTGGGAGGACTGAAGTATGTATTGAAGGGTCTTCCAAAAGAAAGGCTCCGTGCAAACTCATTAATCATGGTCTCATGGGTGATGGAGACAGGACCTGACCACGGGTGCGGGGAGAGTTGAGAGAGCCTGGGGGGCAGACGTGTCCCGGCCACTGGGCGATGCAGGACCCCAGACCCCTCCGGTTCCCCGGAGAGGCGGGGCAGTGGAGCCCACAGCGGGGTGAGGGGTTTTATCTGAGGACACCCGCATAGGTGGTAGGACTGAAGAAAGGGGTTTTCTCTCCCCTCCCCGGGGATCCAGTCATCCACCAAGGCTCCAGCTCCTGAAATGTGGAGAAAAGGTTTTCATTCTAACTCAAGTAGGAAGGAAGGTAGTGGGGGGGAGCTGGTCCTGCCAAAGGCAAATTGTACCCATGCTGTCACACCTTTGGATGTCAGGCCTTCCGGGCCTTTCCAGGCCTGTGTGTGCACGTGCCATGTGAGTTTGAATTGTCGGTACATACACTTGGTCTCAAAATCAAACGTTATACACAAAAAAAAAGACAGAAAGGAAGTCACCTTCCCTGTCCTTCCTGTCCCCAGCCTGAGGTCCCACTTCGGATCTATTTCTGGTTCATGTTTATCAGCACGTTTGGCTAGTGTCTGGGTTAGACTTGAGGCGGTTTCTAAGCTTATTACAGGCAACATTGTAATAACTGTTATCCAGTTATATTGCTCGTGTGCAAGTCCAGAGGTAAATGTCTGGGGGGTGCCCGGGAGCACTGATGGGTGTTACCAAATGGCTGCTACCAAATGGCTGCATCGAAGCGTGTTCTCACCAGTGGTGTTACCAACTTTTTCAAAACCTTTGCCAGCCTGCTATGTTGTAAGGCAGATATCAGCGTGCTTTTAATTTGCATCGATGAGTAAAATTCACACCTGTCTGCGGGCACTGTGGTCCAGGGTATAGACTCTCTGGCTTTGAATCCAGCCCCTCAGCTTACTTTGCAACATTGGCAGATTGATTCATCTGTCTGGGCCTCAACTTCCCTGTCTGCAGAGTGGGCCTAAGAACACTCATCTCCTAGGGCTGCTATTAATGCATTTGGTTTTCATAAAGTGAACTGCTTAGAATGGGGCTGGCTTGGCTGTGAGGCTGTTTGGGAGAGTCTACATTTCCTTTTGCATGATGGACGTGATCTCCTGCGCACGCCACCTGCCTGGGGCTCTGCTTTCTCCAGGAACTCTGGCCAAACAGCAGGCCGTGTGAGCACGCACTGTCTCTTTTGAGCTGTGTTTTCTTCCTGAGCTCCCCTGGAGCTCTGTCCCCAGCACACCAGTGACAGGGAGACCCCAGTTCCCTCTGACACTGACAAGCTCACTCCTTTGCCTGCCTGGGACTGGAACTCACCTGCCAGGTTGTGGCAGTGCTGTGCCGGGAGGAAGAGCAGGTGACATCTCGGGGTCTGCTGTCCTGTGGTGTGAGGACCTGGCAGGGTGCTTCTGAGAGAGGGAAGGGAGCCCTCGGCCCTTGGGCAGCTTCCATTCTTTCCTGAAACTGTCACAGCTCTTTGGTTTGTGGTTTATTTCTCAATGTTTTTGTCTTTAGAAGTGTGGTAACGGCACCATATGGACACGAGCCTGATTCACGTTCTCTTAAAATAATTATACATGCTTGTTTTAGGAGAGAAACTTCTGGAATCAGAATATTGTTTTTGCTCTAAAAAATTAGCCCACACTAATATCTTTTGGGAGGATGATAGCTGCCCTCCCTGCGCGGGAACGTAATGCCCTGGGATGGACGTGGTTCACTTGATGCATTTGCCTTTTGTTGCTTAAAGGTGGTTTCCAAACCCAGACATGACCACTACTCTGCCAGGACCCCCTTTGAGGGGTGTGACAGGAATGGAGGTCAAGACCGAGATAACGGACCACGTGGTGTGAGCCACAACCCACCCTGTCTTTAAGAGCTGACCATAAGCGCTGAGAATGGGCCAGGCTCTTAGAGGTGACAGGGCCATGAGCAGGGCCACCCCAGGGAAGGGGCCCTCAGGACTGCTGGTGGCTCCTCAGGTAGAGGAAGCCTTAGGGTGGGGGCTGTCCAGTGGAGCCTCAGGAAACTGACCGGCATACATGGCATTGAGAAATTCAAAATAAACAAAACCCTTGGCAAGTTGCCACTTTTAAAGGTGTTGTCCCATGCAAAGGTTAAGAAATGAGGACTGTCCCCCATTCTAATTATAGATGAGTGAGAATCACTTGTTTAAAAGCCACGAATGAAGCGCAGGGCACTTTCCGTAGTTCTCTGTTTGGTCACCGGGAGTAGTGTTTCCGCCACTAAAGGGGCCCGAGAACTCTAAGACCTGAGTCACTGCCTCTGGCTGACCCAAGATTGTGCCTCTCGGGCCCGCACATTGTGCTTCAGAAGGAAGCTGGAGGAAAGGAGAGAAGGGATAAAACAAGTTAATTAACTTAAGGCTCCTTTCAATAAAAAAAACTTGGGTGAAGGCGTTACAGCACTCCAGGTGAGTTCAGTAAGGGGCGACGTTGGGACAGGCTCCCCTTGCTGGTAATTCCTGACAGGTGGGCCGCGTGGATGCGATCCGTCCGCGTGGACCGTGTTGGACCCCTGCGCGGGGAGGAGAGTCGCCCGGGAGGTGCAGGTGGTGTCCGGGTGACACTTACCTCCGCGATCTCCCCGGCAGGTCAGTGAGCTTACCGAAGGTGAGGGTAATGCGGGTTCAGATGCATCAAGCGTCCAGGGGCCGTAGCAGCGGATGAAACCTGATCAAATGAACCGCAAGGTCTGGGCAGATCTAAATGTTATTACTCCATGTTATTCTTGCTAAATGTTAAAGTGTAGCCCAGTATTTTGCAGACCAGCTTCATAGGAACCCAAGGGATTAATGTAGCCAACTGCAAAGAAGAAATCAATGTGTAATGAACAAGTAGTGTATCTAGGCAGTGGCCACGCCTCCCTTCGGGAGACAGCTTTGGATGCGCATCGCGCGTCCCTCACTGCAAGTAATAAAACTACCTTGGGACACCCAGGTCTTCTGGAATAGAGCACCCCAAGTGGTGAACCCCTTGAGTTCGGTAACACCTTGTCCTTGATTCTGAAGAAACCCGAGGGAAAAATTCAGGATGGACACCTGATTTAATGGCAGCTAATGGGAAACGTGTGTTTTGGGAATTACTAATGGGGAATATTCGATATAATCGGGCTTGTTCATTAACACCTTCATTTGGTCGTGAAGACCATATATTGGAGAAGGAAACAGGCCTCATTTTAGGAGACAGGTGTGTGGGTGTCGGCATGTGGACCTTGTGTGGAAATTTTCTCCACCGTCGTCCTGCTAGCTGGTTTTCTCTGTTGGAAAGTTTGATAAGCTATTAGTTTTTGTTATGGCATGAAATAGAATCCAACTTTTTCTTTTCCTAGGTACGCAATTGTCCAGCACCATTTAAAAAAAAATTTGCTCTTTCCCAGTGAGCCACAGTGTCACTTTGCTGTATCTGGTGTCCTGTGATATGCGTAGATCTGTTTCTGAGCTCTCTTTCATGTCAAGTCTACTTGTTTTTTGTCCCAAGCCAGTATCAGACTCTTTAAAATATATATATATATATTATTTTAGAGAGAGAGAGAGAGAAAGAGAAACGATTTGTTGTTCCACTTATTTATGCATTCATTGGTTGCTTCTTGTACATGTCCTGACCGGGGATTGAATCCTCAACCTTGGCATATTGGCACAATGTTCTAATCAACTGAGCTACCTGGCCAGGGCCTGGGTTTTTTTTTAAGTCCTTACCCAAGGATGTTTTTTATTGATATTTAGAGAGAGAGGAAGGGAGGGAGAGAGAAACAAACATCAATGTGAGAGAAACATGGATCGTTGCCTCCTGTACACCCCTCTCCCAACCAGGGACCAACCAGGGATCAAACCTGCAGCCTGGGTACATGCCCACGTTCTAGCCTTATCTGTTCAGCCTTCTGTGTCCTTATGTTTAAGATGCGTCTCTTGCAAATAGCATCTACATGAATTTTGTTTTCTGCTCAGTCTGAAACCTTAAACTCTGTTAACCCGTTTCTATTTCCTGTAGCATTGATATATTTGGGTTTAATTCTTTCTCCTTTCTCTGGGCTTCCTAGTCTCTGTCGGGTTTCTTTTCCTCTCCTTTCTTGCCTCCCTTTAGACTGACATTTTATCATTCCCTGATATTCCCTTTATGGGTTTGGAAGTCACACACCTTTGTTCTTACAGAAGTTTCATCAGAAATTACATTTCTCTGTAAGTTCTTTTTTGGACCATACAAGGACTCTGGAACGTTCTCACTTCAGTTTTCACCCTGACTTGTCGTCATGTATCATAATCGTACCTTTAAAGCTCTACACGACCTTGTTCAGTTTACCCAGGTATTTACCATTCCCTTCGTTCACCATTCCTTCTCTTAATCTGAAGTTTAGACTTTATCTAGAGTTGTTTTTCTTTTGTCTGAAGCACATCCTTGAACTTCTTTAGTGACATTTTGCTGAGGTCAAACTTTTTAGTTGTCTGTAAATATCATTTCCCCAAATCCTTGAAAGGTATTTTCGCTGGATACGGGGTTCTGGGACAGCAGTTACTGTCTTTCAGAACCTTCAGGCCCCTTTCCCTCCTGCCCTCTGGGTTGCATTGTTTCCCTTGGAAGTTGTTCCATTGAAAGGTAATTTTCCCTTCCCTTCTGGATACTTATAAGGCTTTTTTTTCTTTTTCTTTGGTTTTCTGCAGTTTTATTATTATGTGGCCAGTTGTGACTTTATTTATTCTACTTGGAATTATTGGACTTCCTGAGTCTGTGGATTGGTGTCTTTCTTCAATTCTGGAAAATCCTCCCTCTTTCTCTCCATGTAATGCCTTTGCCTCATTTTCTTCTAATTTTTTTTCTGTAAATCTGCATGCATGTCTGTGCTTTTGGTGTCATCTAGGAAGTCACTGCCAAACCCAATGTCATAAAATTTCTTCCTATATTTTATTCTAAGAGTTTTACAGCTTTAGTTCTTACATGTAGGTCTTCGATGCATTTTGAGTTCATTTTTGTATATGGTGTAAGGAAAGGGTTTAACTCATTCTTTTGTATTCCGATGTCCAGTTTTCCCAGCACCATTTGTTGAAAACACTGTCTTTCCTCCGTTGAATGGTCTCGGTGCCCTTGTTGAAAATCATTTGACCATATACATGGATTTATTTCTGGACCGATAGGCAATTTCTTAAAGATTAATGAATAGCGGCTCCAGCCCTGGCTGGTGTGGCTCATTTTGTCAGGCGTCCTGTGCACGACAGGTCGCTAGTTCGATTCCCGGTCAGGGCACATGCTCGGGTTGCAGGCCTGTCCCCAGTGGGCGCGCAGGAGGCCGCTGATCGATGTTTCTCTCTCTCTGCCCTCCTTCCTCCCTCACTCTAAAATACATAAAAACATATTTTTTAAAACTAGCGGATCCATCATTTATTCATGAGTGTCGTGGAGCTTTGAGTCATTTATTCCACGATTTGGGACAAGATGTATCCAGTGGTGCCGTCGCCTCACTCAGGCGGGAACCTTGTTGGCTGCTGTTTTCTTTCACTTTTCCTGAAGCCACACATAGGATAAGATGCATTTGATCAAATGTTTTTCTCAAATGTTTTTGTATGTAAAAGTAGTTCACCTGCCATGTTGAACTAAATTTGGGATGGTTAAACAGTGGTTAAGTATTAGTATTCTTTGTGTGGACAATTAATGACAGGCCTCGGTCTTTAACTTCTAGCCCCGCCCTCCCCGTTCTTCAGCACACATGCGTCCTAAACGCACCGTCTCGGTGTATTTCGCTCTCTCCATAACTCACTGTCTTGATTTATTGACAGGTTGTGGCGTTTTTCTCTCGTCCCAGCTGTGTGGACAGTGCCACACGCCCTCTGAACAACAACGGCTCTTGCGTGCCTGTCCCAGTGTTTCTTCTGTCAGAGAGCCCAGCAGAGCCGCAGTTCTTTCAGTGCCAGCCCTGAGCTGAGCGAGGAGTGCCCAGGCGAGATGGTAAAGATGACAAAATCCAAAACTTTCCAAGCTTATCTGCCAAACTGTCACCGAACGTACAGCTGTGTCCACTGCAGAGCCCACCTGGCCAATCACGACGAGCTGATCTCCAAGGCAAGTGGTTTGTGTCTAGAAATTGATGAGGTTCCCTTGACAGTGATGTCATTCCTCAGTAGCAGATGAACATTGAACCATCGCGTGGCTTTCTGGGTTTGCTGTGTCCTGAAAGTCTAGAGCCTCTGGGCCGCGTTGATGAAAGTCTTGTGCGTGACTAAGTGTGGCTGTGCCACATGCTCCTGATCTTGACACTGTGGGTGGGTTTGGAAGGCCGGCAGCTGGGACTCCCAGAGATCACGGAGCGCCAGATGAGTCAGTTATTTGTCAGAGCAGTAAAATTAGTGTGAAACCAGACACGTTGAAGGAACAAAGGAAGTCAAGAAAATCTGTGGAAATAGTTTAATAAGAGAATTAAGAATTTTTTAAAACTTAGAATGGCTGGGAAGAAAAGAGGCTTTGTGTGGGAGATGGGCTCTTTCAGGAAAATGCCCAGGAGGGAGCTCTGGGCACTGTCTGCAGGACCTGGAGCAGCCTGGTAGATGTGACAAGAACGGCCCCATCCTGTCTTATTGGGTCGACGTCTTTATTAGCAGTATGTAATGCTTGTACTCAACCACTTGTGAACATTTAAAACAATCCAAACAGCCTGGCCGGCGTGGCTCAGCCGCTGAGCATCAGTCTAGGATCCAGGAGATTGCGGTTCGACTCCCGGTCAGGGCACATGCCTGGGTTTCGGGCTCGATCCCCAGCAGGGGGCGTGCAGGAGGCAGCTCATCAGTGACTCTCCCATCATCCATGTTTCTCTCTCTCTCTCTCTCTCTCTCTCTCCCTCCCTTCCTCTCTCTGAAATCAATTAATATATATAAAACAATCCAAATGGAGTGGATGAGTGAATGTTCCCTTGGGAAGCAGCAACAGTCCTCCCCCCCTCCCCCACACACAGGTCATGACCCCCCATTCTCACAGATCGGGATGCTCACCCACCCTCACAGGTCTGCCTTCCTGGGCTGCAGGCACCTCACTCTCTTTCTAAAACAGTCTGTCGGGAATGGGAATCTCCGCTGAGGCTTGTTGTTTCACTCAATTAGAAGAACATTTATCTGCTTGTGTGTTAACGAGGTAGTAATGACAGGTTGTTTCATTTCTGTTCATTATCCGAAATAAAAACTGTTAAACAAGGCAGAGTTTCTGTTCTCCTGCAGCTCCTTTGTTCATTCAGAGGTTTCAGGGCAGAAGTGGAAGTACCTCAGGCTCGGGAGAGCCGCTCCAGGGCCCCCAGATTGGGGCTCAGTGTCCGTGGCTAAGCTCATGCCACCTAAGCAGGCGTCAGTGTCAGGCCCCATTACGGTCTTTGTTCTGAAGCATGTGGGCGGATCCACTGTGAGGTGGGCGGAAAGGAATGTGAGCTGCTGCTTCCAGAGCACCCAAAAGCCATTAAGTTGTTTTAAATCACATCAGAGCAGAGGCCTGCCAGGTGGAAACAGTCATGACATTAAATGAGCACTTTAGGATGAAAGGGAGCTGAGAACCTAAACTCTTCAAGCACACAGGCTGCCAAGAGGTGTCAGACTTGTGTTTCAGCTGGTGCTGAAGTAAACTGCTTTTCCCCCCCTACATCAGCGATTTTCAACTTTTTTCATCCCGTGGCACACACAAACTAATTACTAGAATTCTGTGGCATGCCCAGCCCGTGTGGCTCAGCAGTTGAGCGTCGACCTCTGATCCAGGACGTCACGGTTCGATTCCCGGTCAGGGCACATGCCCAGGTTTCGGGCTCAATCCCCAGTAGGGGGCGTGCAGGAGGCAGCCAATCAATGACTCATCATTAGTGTTTCTGTCTCTCTCTCCCCCCTTTCCCTTCTTCTCTCTGAAATCAATAAAGATATATTTTACCAAAAAAAAAAATTCTATGGCACACCAGAAAATATATATTTTGCCTATCTGACCAAAAAAATAGGAATAATTTTGATTCATTGACACTGGATGGCTATTGTGTTGGCTCTTGTCATTTTTTTATTTGACAGTCTAAGGGAAAAAAGGTCAGTGCCCCTGACTAAGTAGCCAGGTAGTGCATCTTTTAAAAATTCTTGCGGCGCACTGGTTAAAAATCGCTGTCTTATATTGTTATCCCACATCATTTGTAACATAAAGCAGAACCCAGTTCATACGAGGCTAGAGTTACCTTCCTGACAGGCTCCCCAGCCCCTGGTGCATCTGTGCACTAACAAGCAGTCCCCTGGCCCGAGGAAGCCCTCTTGGTGCAGGCGGGTCTGGTTGTTAGAAAGCTCTGTCTGGTTTGCAGACTCTTATCTGCAGGCCACATCTGGCAGACCAGCTATTCTTGTAAAGTTTTATATTTCATCTGTGGCTGCTTTTGTGCCAGAGGGTATATGGCCCCCAAAGCCTAAAATATTTATCTGGCTCTAATTTACAGCAGTTTGCAGAGCCCTGCTGTAGTCAGGCGGTGGCCTGAATCTGAACCATAGATCTGAGCACATCTTGGATCCAAACCCTGTGAGAAAAATGAGGATTTGCAGAATAGGTGAGAATTAGGAAAATCAATCTAGAAAACTGAAGGCCGATAGGGATGTGTGAAAAGTTCGTATGATGATTCTTTGTTAAATTGGACAAAATAATGTTCCTCATTCTAGGAAGCTACTTAAGGGAAGACCCCTTTTTAAGTCTGAAAGCTGTGTATTTAAAACAGTGGTAGCCTCAGGCTTAGTTTTGCTGCAGTAACAACCCCAAATCTCAGTGACTTAAAACAAAGGTTTCTTTCTTTTTTTAATCCTCACCTGAGGATATGTTTTTTGTTGACTTTGGAGAGGAAGGGAGAGAGAGAGAGAAACATTGATCAGTTGCCTCCAGTATGCACCTCGACTGGGGATCTAACCCACATCCTGGGGCTGTGCGCTGACCGGGAATCCAACCCGCCGCCTGTCGGGGTGTGAGACAGCGCTCCGACCAGCTGGGCCACGCGGCCAGGGCCAAGCGGAGGTTTATTTCTTGCTCAGGTGGGGTGTTCATCATGGGTCGGCCAGGGCTCTGCTTTCTTCAGTTATAAAAGATACTTGTTTGAAATTATAAAGTGATGTGTATGTCTAAAGTAAAAAGTGAGAATACCTTTTCCTCCTTCCTATCCCAGCTCCATTCCTTAGAGTAATCACTTAGTAGCTTGGTGTGTATGTTGTCTGGTCTTGGTTGGTTGGTTGGTTTTTTGTTTTTTGGTGTGTGTCCATAACAACACATTTTCACTTTATTTTTTTATTTAATCTATTGATTTCAGAGAGAGAAGAAGGGAGAGGGAGAGATAGAAACATCACTGATAACAGTCATTGATCGGCTGCCTCCTGGACGCCAACTAGGGATCGAGCCCGCAACCCGGGCATGTGCCCTGACCGGGAATCGAACCGCGATCTCCTGGATCCTAGGTCGATGCTCAACCGCTGAGCCACGCCCAGGCGTATTTTTCACTTTAAATAAAGAGCTCACGACGCACATCGTTTTACAGCTGGCTCCCTTCCCTTAACAGTCCTCTGTGACTGTCTTTCCACACCCTCTCACCCATCTGTTTTGTTTCCTTTTTAATGTCTGCACGAGTCCCGGATGTGAAGTGAAGGCACTTGTTTGCTCACTTATTGGTGGGTGTCTGCCTCCAGTGTTTTTGCGACTACAAACACTAATGGTGACCATTCTTGTCACATTTCCTCAGGCACTCAAGCTGACCTGTTCTTTACAGTTCGTTCTGGGAATGGGATTGGTGGGCCATCCAGTCAGCCTTCCTTGCAGTCTTTTGAATTTTTGTTGACAGTGTTCTTGATTCTGTTTGCATTTCACCGACAATTTTTGTGGTCCCTCTGTTCCGTTTGGTCATTTGAGCCTGGGACCGGAGCAGATGAGCCCCGAGCCAGTGTTCCCTCTTGTTTCCAGGAAAGAGGGGGTTGTGAGAGCTGAGTCTGGGACTGACACGAATACCCCATCCTGCCTCCTGAATCGTCTTAGAGTACATAAATATGCTGTGAGCCATTTCTTAGCTTGTAACACTCTCCTGGGTGAGCTGTCTTTCCTCCAAGTAAGGGGCCATCGTGGGCTGTGACTTTCTATTTCAATGGAAAAGCATGAAAACGTCCCCTCGCCCCTAGTATCGGACAGGCGTGGTGCATCCTGTGCTGGCGGAGCGACCTGGGCAGCTCTCTGGGGCGCCCTGTGACTCCCGGGCCCTCGGGAAAGACGCTTGGCCTGCTCGGGGCCCTGAACGCAGCCCCCTCACTCTGCAGGGCGGCCCTTCAACTCACGTCAAGGCCCAAGACCTGAAACACAGCTGCTCCATTTTCATTCCAAAATGCCAAACTCATCATCACTTTTTGTCTTATCGCAATAACCTTTTAAACCTTTTTTCTTCTTTGCAGTCCTTTCAGGGAAGCCAGGGACGCGCCTACCTCTTCAATTCTGTGTGAGTAGCGCTGCGGGTTAGCCTTGCGGACGTGCTGTGCTGTCAGGCCCACTTATCGCAGCTTCTCTGTGCCCGTTCCGTTACTCAGCTGGAATATATAGTGTCCCCAGTGGTCTCGAATTACCCAGTGTCTCTTACGTGATCTTAAAGAATTTCCTCTCTAGTCTTAAGAGTTTCGGGAAAGCATAAGGCTCCTGAGGAATTAGCCCTGCACACATGCTGTGGTTCGCTTCCCATTTGTGGGAGGTTTTCAGTTTTACTACAGCAGAACTGTGGTCACCTCCCCAGAACCTGTCCCATCCTGGGATTCTTGTGGGGAGATAAAAAGTTGTTCCTTCTCCTAAGAGGTGGCGGGGGGCAGGGGCAGGGGAGGCCGGGAGTTAAGAGGAAACACTGCTGCATGTCTGGTAACCAGTTGGCTCAAGAAATCACCCCAGGGTGGGAGCCATCCCTAGGTGGGGGTGGAAATGCTGCCAGCCCGGGCCCCCCCAGGAGGCAGGGTCTCCAGCGCCTGCTGCCTCCTCCCTGCAGGGTGAACGTGGGCTGTGGCCCCGCAGAGGAGAGAGTCCTTCTCACTGGCCTCCACGCCGTTGCAGACATCTACTGTGAGAACTGCAAAACCACGCTCGGGTGGAAATACGTGAGTAGCCACTGTGTTCTGACATTCCGGAGAACACAGATTTACTGTAATAAAACGTTTACAAATGGAAACAAGACTTGCAGAGGTGTAAAAGCTGCCCCGGAAGTGTGATCCTATCAACCAGAGTTCATGTTTTAAAAGAAATTTCTTTTGGGCCAATTAAAGCTGTGTGGGCACACCTGCACGCTGGTCAGGGGCGCACGGCCCCGCCCCGCAGACCCTGTGCCCTGTGGGTCCCATGCAACAAGGGAAGGGAGGCTGTTCCCACTCATCTGGGTGGCCAGGGCTCAGGGCTGGTGACGTTACTTTCCAACAGCCATCACAGCAGACCCTCTGCAGTGCTTGGCGCCTTGTATACGTAGAAGCCCCTGCCTACAGGCTCTTAGTTCCAGCCCCTTCTTTCTCCTGGCGCCTGTGCTGAATGTTGCCACCCTGCCCCATCTTCGGTCTTTACCTCCTGCCCCAAGCTTCCTGCAGGCACAGGTGCCGCTGTCCCCACCAAACCTGACCTGTATGTGGTAACTGAGCGTTTGGCCGTGGGAAGTCTCTGCCATTTTCTGCTTCCATCTCCCTCCCACCTTTCTGACTGATCTCCTCTGATCTCAGCTTGTTTTGACCTTTATGTTGACAACTCCCAGACTTGTTCCTGTGCCCCAGCTTCTGTCCCATGTCCCCAGTGTGCCCTGCCATCTTGTGCACGTCCCCCCCCAGATTCGGCATTTAAGAGGCCCATCTGGAGTGGTGCCTGAAGTTGTCTTTTGCAGCCATTCTCATTTCCTTCGTCAGGGCCACCTGCTCTCCCCCTTGGAATTCTCTATCGTTGCTGGTGTCCCATGTCCCCATCAGAGAGACAGGCTCAGTGAGGCCTGCACACTCCCCCAGTCCTTCCACCTACTGGGCCTATCGCATTCCATCCCTGAACCACCCCCAACAAAGGGCCCTGTCTGCCGCCAACATCTTTGAACTGCCCGGGGCTTTCACAGTCACCTTTACTTTGCTTCTACCTGGTGTCCCTGGAAGGAGCGTCTTGCTCTCCCTAGCTCCCAAATTGCCCTGCAAATGGAAGGTGCTCAGTAACAAATTTGAATTCATATTTCCCTTGAAGTTTGACCATAACTTGATGACACGTGTACACTGTCACCCGAAACAGACCCCTCCCAGCCATGAGCCGGAAACAGCTGGGGAGACACGTTACTAAAGGCTGTTTTCTCTGCTCAGAATGCAATGAAGTTGAAAAATGAAACAGTCTGTCCTGAAACCTTCTCTGTCTCTACTTTTTTACCCCCAAGGAACATGCCTTTGAGAGCAGTCAGAAATATAAGGAAGGAAAATTTATTATTGAGCTTGCCCACATGATCAAAGACAATGGTTGGGAGTAGAGTGAAGGCCTCCTGTTCTCTTCTGAGTCCTGTTTTGTGAGAGACTTTAATGGAAACATAGGAGCATCCTGGATGACAATATTCCTTGAACTTGAACCTTGCAAGCCGGCCTCTTCTGACCATCCCATGGGTAAGGCTCCCTCGGTCTATGTCTTCATGTATGTGGTCGTTTCTGAAATGTTTCAGTGACCTTTTTCTAATGTTTCACATTCTAGAGAAAGAATTAACCAACTGATGATTTACCCGTCTAGTTAATACCTTCTTTAACCTATGCCTTTAAGATAAAGTTTGGCTGCTCTTTCATGTTTGATAGAAAGAGACCGAATCTCTACAGACCACAGTGACAGGGTCTCTTTAGAGAGCAGGTTCACCCTGTCATTTAGAATGAAGGTTTTATAGGCCACTTTTTTCCTAATTTGCAAAATTACAAATTGGTTATTTCTCTTGCAAATGAGCTGTTAAGTCATAGGGCTCATTTCAGAATCTTCCAGAAGCAGTCACAAATCTGTACACCAAGGGTGTGTTTTTTAGCCTTGTTCAAAAACAGAAGATACCATTGATAACGTTTTAGATAAGCTATAGAGAAGTGGGTCTAATGCAACATCTTGTTATTTAAGCCAGTAGCTTCCTTATCTAGAAAGCAAATGAACTAGTCGTTAGCGGAGACTGTTCCAGGGGCCCGCGGCGCAGCTGCGCCAGGACCACAGCCCTGGACACGGGGCTCCGGAGGGGGGGCTCAGCCAGGCACTGAGGGGCTGCTCCATGGAGTAATAGTTTAACACACTGGACCGAGTAAATCGGATTTCCTTTTCTACTCTGATGTACTTGAAGAAAAATTATTTTTGCATATGAGAGAGGCCAGAACTAACAGGATAAACTTTCAAACTTGAGATTTGGTAGATTGTTTTAATGTTTTCAGAAGAGGTTAAAATTGCAAGACAGGTTTAAACTTTGTAAATGGGATGTTTGCTCAGCGGGTCCCACTGCCTTGCCTGGTCTGTCCCATGGGCTGACACACAAGGGGCCTGGGCAGTCTCCTAAGTCCTGAGTTGCCGCCACGTGTTTCAAGTTTCGATCCACCCGTGCTTCAGCAGGGAGTGGGCCCGACACAGGTTTTTGGCCAATCTGCAGAAAATTGAGGTCAAAAACTTTTCCAAGTAAGTTTTGTTTTTCGCTGTTCTGACTCCAGCCTGTGGGCCCAGCCTGCTGCTGCAGGTGTGTGGGGAGGCCTTCTGTGTGGTCACCATGGCGTGAGACTCCCTGGGTCCCAGCACCAAGGGCAGGAACAGGGCCCCGGGCAGGCAGTGTGCCCAGGTGTTTCTCGGCCTGTAGGACGGCTCTGAAACTGCCTTTGGGTGAGGCTAGTCCGGCGGCAGCAAGCCTGAGCCCCTCCCCTTAGCACAGAGCTCCCGGCCATGCAGGCAGGAGGCTCCCCTGCCGGTTCCGGTTTGGCCGCTGCCCTCTCGGCACCACCTCTGCCTGTCTTGCCGCCTTGGAACATGGGAACGTGGCGGCCCCGACTCCAGGGTGGGTTCGCACAGAGGAGCCCCTGCCGCTTGTCAGCCGAGAAGGGAAGACCTTTGTGCAGCTGTGGAAGCCTCCCTTCCAGCAGGTGCTCCAGCTGGCGGCTGCTTCCCTGAGCTGTGTCCAAAGATCTGGGCTGTGCCAGCGTCTGTCCGACCTGGCGTCCGGCGCGCAGCCCCGGGGCTCGCTGCCGTGGCTGAAACCTGCAGAGGCCTCAACCGCGAGCACCTGCGCGGTCCCAGTGGCAACGGAAGGGCCTGAAGGACGCCGCCCGTGGGAAGTGAGTACTAACTGCAAACGTGGCCTAAGCTGACTCCCCTTCTCGTTTGGGGTCCTCTACGAGCCTCACGCTGCACCCGGCGGCCGGACCAGGGCAGCGGCCCGAGCGTTTCTCCGTGAGGTCTTCACTTCAGCTGAAGGATCTTTCTAAAATTCTTCTGACCAATTTTTGTATATACTAAACTTATATTTAAAGCTTTTATATGTTCTGGGCAATTTTACTGGTCCTTCCATTTGAGCACTTTGGTTTTGTATCGTCGGTTGTGATGACATTGAAACCTTTTTCCTAGCGGTCTTATGACTTGTGGTTTTTGTTTTTTTTTGGTAATTGATACAAATACTCTTACCACTTTGTTGGTCTTCTAAAAAATCCAAGCTCCTTTTGAAACCAAACGAACTGAGCATGAGCTGGCTTTAGGGAAGGACATCCACGAGCCACAACTACGTGCTAGTGAAGTGCTGGAATGTTCCACCCTCTCAAATTCCTAAACAGTGAATGTCATCCCCTGACTTTTATTTAAGTTATTTAAAATATTTTTTCCTTGAAGAGTGGGAGGTGATGCCAGGATTATAAATGCATTTAACTTAAAATTGTGCCATGTCCTCTGGCTCAGTACATTTGCTTTAGAACTGTGGTTTAGTTTTGTTGCCATTTTTATATACATATATAGTATTTTTATACCTTAACACTTATTCTTGATGGCATCTGTCAGATATTAGCAAGGATCAGAAATGGGAATTTTTCGGAAGTCCTTTAATTTACCTGATGACTTTACCAGGTACTTAAAAAATCCAAGTGCTTTTAATTTCTGGAAAAGTACAATTTAAGCTCCAAAACCACCTACAAAAATGTAAACCCTTGCTTGTCCTCCCATGTGGGGCGGGTCCATGGGCCACAGCCCGGGCTGGCCCAAGGGTTCACCCCTCGGAGCAGGACCGCCAAGCTTGAGCGCACAAGCCTCCCTCGGCCTCCCTGTGTCCAGCCCTTGGTCCTCTGAGGTTTAAAAATAAAGCTTCCATGTCCAGTGTCTCCTTTTCAGTAGCACTTGTGCTCAGGTGCTCTCCTCTGATGCTGAGGGACAAGGCCCTGGTGCCGTGCAGCTCCCACCAGGAACACAGGGGTCTTCTTTCCGTAGGCAGTTCTGGTCCTGCGCTGTCATATGCAGAAGTAGCCCCTGGGCGCTGGCCACCAGGCTCACCACCTGTTTGGGGTCTGCAAGTGTGGCCTGAGAAAAGCCTAACCCTGCAGTTTCCGGGCTGTGGCTAAGCCACACTCACCTCCTCCTTCTGAACTGCTGAAGGGCTAGGCCTCCACGCCTCAGGAGCCCAGGGTTCTTGGTGTGCTGTACCCACCCCACCCCCGGGGTCTTCACCCCCACCCTGCCTGCCCTCTCCTCCCGTGTCAACCAGGTTCTCGGAGACAGTGCTGGTGCAAACACAGGTGAGTTCTCAGACGTCTGTAGCTTGGAGGGTGGCGTAAAGGGGTTGTGAAAAAGTGAGGGACCACTGACTAAAGGCACGGAGGGGCTAGACAGTCACACTGCAGAGGGACAGGGTATAGGCAGCAGTGTCTGGCCTGAAGCGAGATAACAGGCCAGCGAGCGGATGCGCAAGAGGGCCAGAGCCAGGCAGGTGAGAGAGAACGGGGTGGGGCCTGGTGGTCAGCGTCAGAGCTGGGAAAGAATTGCCAGGGTACATTTTGGAAGTAAGAGTTGTCGAGACTGTCAGAATTGAGGTTTTGGGTGAGGGGGCAAAGAACAAAAACCAAGGATGGAACTGGGTTAGAATTTCAGCATTAACGAGAAGGGGGGAAGCCTGTGCCGACCTGAGGACCATAAGCACTGAGAAAGGGTGTGAGGGAACAGTGACCCTTGCAGAGCCCAGAGCTAGAGGAGGCTGAGGTCCTGGAGGAGGCAGCTGTCCCCAGGTTTCTCCAGAGGCACTTCAGGAAAGCTGAGGTAGCAGAGTCAGGTCAGGAGAATGGAAGCCGGGCTGGCACAGCCTGCAGAACGAACAGAAAACAAGGACGGGCAGGCAAGAGTAAGTTTTTTAAGACATTTATAGAAAAACGGGATCAGGGAAGGGAACTTTTAAGTTAGGGCTTTCGGGCCAGCCATACTAGCATTTCCTAAGAGCTGAGGGCCAGTGTTTGAGCGCAAGGATGGGCCCTGAGGATGGGCAAGGGGGCGTGCCAGCTGGCAGGGCCTTCATGTCCAGCAGGAACAGCTGTCTTCACCTACGTGTGGTCTCATCACCATCCTGAGACAGAGGTGGGCAGTCCTGGAGGAGAACCCAGACGCAGGCTTGCAATGGGCACAGCTGGGACTGCCCACGGTCCTTGCTAGGCTGGACTCAGCAAACCCAAGCAAGAGGTGGCAAGAAAGTTTTTTGGAAATAACATGTAGGTTCTAGTCCAGGGTTCTCAAATCACTGGCATCAGAAGCCCCTGAGCTTTGTCAAAACATAGACCTCAGCCTCCAGGTCAGAGACCACATGAAGTAAAAAAAAGACCCCGAGATGATGGAAATGGGTGGTGGTGGTAAGAAAACCGCGATCAGGAGATGATAGCCCTTCTCCCAGACCTAGACCCAGTGCCTGGTGGTCCAAGATGTGGGCTCCAGCAGGGCGCAGGACTGGGAAACAGGGCCAGGATACTCTGCACTGGGTGACAGAAGAGGAGGCCCATGGGCTCCTGGGGCCAAGAAAGGGAACCCAAGCAATAGGCAAGGGCTTCATTGAGGTGCAGCCCAAAGGGCAGGTTTGTGAGGGCAAAAACCTCAGGGGCGTGGACACAAGCCCCAGTACTGTGTCCCTACCTGGGTCCAGAGCAGCAGGCCTGCTGCTACTACCATGAGCTGAAGTCCCTGAAACCTCCGCTGGGCTTTTTCTTGGCCACAGAGACAGCTGCACTGGTTGATGGTTCCTCATCTGCTACACGTTTCCTGGGAAGAGAGCACACCAGGCTCTAGCTGCTATGGGGGCCAGGCCCCAAGCTGGAAGCCATGTTCTCAACATCACCCCCACCCTGCAGAGGCTTCCCAGCACCCGCTCACTGCTCGATCCCCGTGCCTGCTATGAGATCAGTAAGCACATGGACTATACCATGGAAACGGATACCAGCTCCCACCCCACTCACGTGGCTGCTGGGTTGATGTACTTGCCCACCCCCTGGCGGTACGTGGGGGGGCCCTGGCTCCCTGGCTTGGGCTGGCTTTTCTTCACTGTGTTCTCTGGGGCTGCCTCCTCCAGCTGTGTCTTTTTCCGCTCCTCGGCAATCTGTGGTGGAGCAGGGACGTGGCTAGTCCGGAGCCCCTCGGGCTGGATAGGATTCCCCCAAGTCCCTCCCCATATGGTGGCTGGACATTCCTCACCTGGACATCAGCCTCCTCGTAGGGGTCCACAAACACCGTGGTGGATTCAATGCGAATCTCCTCCTATAGCAGGGGGAGGCCAGTGAGCAGGGCTGGCAGGACCCCACGCCTGCCTGGCAGAGCCTGGGGAGTGGCCCCTTTGTTCTCCCAGGGTGCATACCTTAGGGCGGTCAGTTTTGGGGTCACTCTCCACATTCTCCATGGCTGTTAGTGTGTCAAAGCCCCCAACAACCCTGCAGGAGAGGGGGGCTCTGAATATGAACCTGCTCAGGGCACCCCCAAAGGCCAAGTCCCCACAGCACGGCAGGAAGAGGGGCTGAGAATGGGCCCAGGCCGCAGGCCCACGAAGGCCTCACACAGGGTGAGGGGTGCAGACAGACTGGATTCAGAAAGACCCACAGGGCCAGCCCAGGACTGTGGGCCAGGAGAGGAGGGGTGCAAGAGGCAAGGCCAGCAGGTGGCCAGTAAAGCTGTATTAGGACACAGCATCCACTGCTTCCACACTGACATAGCTGCTTTTGGGCTGCAACCACAAAGCAGAGGAGTGTGACAGAGATCATATGCCACAAAGCTGGAAATACCACCTGGGCCTTCACAGGGAAGGTCTGCTGGCCCTGGACAAGAAGCTGGAGAGAGGAGGTGACCCAGATGCGCGATTTGGGATCACCCAAAGAACCCAAGGGGCTGACTGGGCAGGACAGCCACCAGGCAGGGCTAGAGCTGGGCTCCTCTCCTTAGCCAAGGTCCCCTGCTCAAAATAGAAGCCCCAATTCCCTGCTTCTGCACGGCCATAGCCTCAGCGGGGACAGTCAAGAGGGCAACAGAGTACAGGGCCAGGCCTAGGGAAAAGGCAGCAAGACCCCAAACCTCATGCAGGAGCTTTCTCTTACCGCCCGAAGATGGTGTGCTTCTTGTCGAGGTAAGCGCAGGAGCGGAAGGTGATAAAGCTGGGGAGGACAGGAGGGTCAGGAAGAGTGTGAGAGCTTCCCCACTCCTACCTTGGTCCCCCAGTCCACTGGGCACAAATCAGCCCCCCCCACACACACACCCTGCCCCAAGCCTGCTCTGGGAAGCTGCTCACTTGTGTACACAACCCCCATACCCTATCTGTCCAGGGCAGGCTATCAACCAAAGTGCCACCCTGGGGACTGGGGCCTCTGGCCCCCCCAGGAGAAATCCTAATGCACAGCCACCAGGAATGGTCAGGGGAGGCTCAGGCCCGGCCATTGCCAACCTACCATCAGGCAGACACTGTGCCCAGAGCCTGGAGGCAGAGGCTGCTCTGAAGATGGAGCAAGCAGACCAGAACCCATCCACTGAGACTAAAGCACCAAGGAATCTGAACCAGCAGGAAGAAGGCAATGAGCAGGACAGGAGTAAAGATTTACACAGAGACACGGGTGCACGTAGAGCAACACTGACCTAGAACATTTCCACTTCTGATTTGGCAAAAAAAAAAAAAAAATGGAATTAGGTCTTGGCTGGGTACCTAGTTGGTTAGCGCATCATTCCGATGTGCGTTTGATCCCCGGTCAGTACATAACGAGAATCAACCAATGAATGCATAAATAAGTGGAACAACAATTTGATGTTTCTCTCTCTTCCCTTCCTTCCTCTCTAAAATCAGCAAATGGATTAAAAAAATTGTCTTTAGTGGATGACATAATTCCCGACTACAGTGATGTGGATGGTGGGGGTGACTGGAAGGGTCTTGTCTGGGAGGGAGGGAGGGAG